ATTACCGAAGATAAGCGCAATTAGTGTAAGCAACGTGGCCAGTTAATAGAACATTATTCAGGGAGGCAGAACAAACTAAATAAAGCGGAATGAAATTTATCCACATTAAAAAGACTTATTTTAAGTGTTAGTTGGTTTAGCCCAACTGCGGTGAAGAAGCATCAAGAATGCAACACCAGCCTCAGCATGGGGCACTAAATACATATATATATATATATATATATATATATATATATATATATATATATATATATATATATATATATATATATATATATACTTAAATACATACCAGGAAATATAAAGCCGTCGACTGGGGTCTGTTCGCCAAATTAATGAGATCTGCTCAATGGGACAGTTTTTTCCTTACTGAAGACTCACAAGCCGCTGCAGATGTTCTCTACAACAACATTTACATATGTATTGATGCACTCGCTCCCACTGTGCATCGACACTTTCCTCACAGTAACAAAACGCATATGTCACGTAGGACAACCATAATGCTCAAAAAGCTGCTAACGGCACATCGCGAGACAAATGACTTCTTCTTGGCACAACACCACAAACTTAGCTCTACAAATGGCATGTCATAACAAAAAAATCGCTGATAAAAAAGAGCCCTCTGGATCCAGTATAAAATTCGCGTTCTAACCAACATTTTAAAGTGTAGGAATGCCAAACGGAGTCAGGACACGATCTCATTTGTTACGGCAGATAACCACATAATAGCTGACCGGACCCACAGCAGTGAAATCTTTAGTCAGTACTTTTGCGCCCCACTTAAGCTGGATAATGACCTTCCAAGATTGTATATACCACCATCAACACTTGACCAACTCATCCGTGTCAAGATTGAACTCCGTGACATACAAAAGCTTGTAACATACAAAATTATCCTACTTCGGTGGACCAGATAGTGTACCTCCCGCACTTATCAAACTCCGGGGTGTCGACATACCATTGCTTTCATTGAATATGTTCACCTTATCCATGAACTCCGGTACTGTACCGACACGGTGGAAAGAAGCCAGTGTCATTCTGCGACACAAATCAGACTCCCTGTTCGAAACAAAGAATTATCACCCAATAATTCATATATTTATCTTACCCAACTTGATAGAACGACATAAAATCTGCAACGGTCGACTTCCTACTGTCTCGTAAGTTAATCAACGACTCTCAACATGGTATTATGAATGCTCGTGCATGATGTGGCAACTGGAATTTCTACATCATGTAACTGCCTCACAGGATAACGGCAATTCTGCAGTCGCTATTTACCTCGATAAGCACAAAACTTTCGACCGAGTGCCACATGGAAAACTGATATCCAAATTGATGTATGGAATCGGGAATCCCTGCTTTCGTGGTTCAAGACATATCTTACCAATCGAACGCAGGTGGTACAGATTCGGGAACACAAATCTGAACCAACAGCAGTCACAAGTGGTGTAGTACAGGGTGGTATCCTTGGTCCTATACTGTTTTTGATGTATGTTAACGGGGTATTTGACGATGTAAAATGCGGAACACCGTGTGTTTGCCGACGATATCAAAAGTATCTACACTTTTAACCCTGCTACCATAAACTACCAATATGATCCAGCTCGACATCCACGCGCTCGGAACCTGGTACTCAAACTGGGGAATGTTATTTACGACAGATAAATGTTACGCTATGTCATACAAATGCGACAGAATATCAAGCAATTTAACCATTTGTCATAAGCAAATTAATATATGCCATACTGTTCGTGACCTGGGACTGAGATACTCATGCTCGCTCAACTTCTCCGAACAAGTAGCCTACGTCACTGCAAAGACCAGACAAAGCATTGGAATGTTATTTAGAACTTTCAAAGTAAAAGGATCTGTACTCTGTGTAGCAGTCTGGAGATTCCCCGGTTTGCCTGTGTAAAATTCTTACTAAAATTATTTCATTGTTCACTTACGCAACCGGTGTGGTTTGTTGAACTGATTGCTGAGTTCGAATGCTTGACTTGCTCACCGCCATTTTTGCTTGGCACTCATTTCGGTTGCAACTCGCAACTGCCCTGTGTGCTGTGCTTGCTCCGTTTCCCTAGCTAGGGCGTCCGCGGTGTCGTTCTTTTATAGCTAGATAACGGGGAATCTTTTACTGTACCAATAAAAGTTTCCCTGCAACTCGATCTGCCTTCTCGAATCGCTCTCTGGGCTCCCGGTACAGGCGACCCTCTAAATTGGTGACCCCGACTCCGGAACAATCACAACGCCGGATATTTCGAACTTTTCTCCGGTGAGCTCGTTCCATTTATTTTTTCATATTTTGCTGTTAATTTTTGCATACGGTAGCCTGTTTTTTGCGTCATTCTTTTAAGCCATGGAATCTGTAGACCATAAGGTAGAGTCTCTACTAAGCGTTGTATCTCTGTACCACCTTTTTGAGACTTTGATCCTCTTTTGTGGTTCGCTCATCTTGAGGCTGAGTTTTACAACCACAGAATCACTTCCGACTACGCGAAGTATTGCAAGCTCCTGTCCTATCTCCCCAAAGAGATATCAATGCAGGTTCGTGACGTTATCATTTCTCAGACCGAAAACCGCTATGAGGCTCTGAAGGAGCCCACGATCAAGCGTGTTATACCCTCTGAGAAAGTTCGCCTGCAGCAGCTTTTCAGGGATCTGCAGCTGGGCGGCAAACTGCCCTCAACCCTGCTACGAGAGATGCAGCAACTCTTTGGTTCCTCAACCATGGACGAGACGCTACTTCATGAATTATGGCAACAGCAGCTACAGGAAAACGCGCAAGCGATTCTCGCTATAGTGAGCTCCATTTCGCTCACCCAACTAGCAGATTTAGCGGATCGAGTTATTGAGCGATCACAGCCACAAGCCGACGCCAGCAAGATCAATGCCATCGCGTCCCAGGGCACTTCTATCACTGGTTTACGGTCAGAAGCCCTGCAAACACAAGTTGCGACACTTAGTCGCCAGGTTCAACAGCTTGCTATGAATCCTCGTCGTCATAGCCGCTCAAAATCGCCTTGCAAACGTTCTAAGTCGAGCAACAGGCAAGCTAGCTGTTGGTACCACCAGCGTTTTGGTATCGCAGCTCATAAATGTGTCAAGCCTTGTAACTTCGCCGTGAAGCAGGGAAACTTCTCGGCCGGTCCGTAACGGCGACAGACGCGACCGGCCAACGCCAAAGTCGCCTCATCCGCGTTAGGGATTTAACTCCCGACACCGAGTTTCTAGTCGACACTGGCGCCGAAGTTAGTGTTATACCCCGTAGCTCAGATGACGTCGTCTCGCCATCGCCGACCAAGCTGCGTGCCGCCAATGGCACACCAATCGCAACTTACGGCGAAAAGCTGCTGACGCTCAATTTAGGCCTCCGGCGAACCTTTCGCTGGCCTTTCATAATCGCTGCCGTGCCTTTCGCCATCATAGGCATAGACTTTCTTCAACGCTTCCACCTCATCGTCGACGCTAAAAGGAAGAAGCTTATCGACTCTAGGATACAGCTCAGTGTTATCGGGACTAGCGCTAACGTAGCTGCTATCACTCCCATTCCTGTCCTACCTCAAGTTTCACAACTTTTATAGAACTTTTCAACAAGCATCCTAAACTCGTTCGCATCCTGAACGACTTGCCTCCTGTGACGTCAAACGTCATGCATCACATTTGCACTAGGGGCCCACCTGTTTCGGCCCGCCCTCGCAGACTAGCCCCATCATTCATTCATTATACACATCAGATAGAGGTGGGAAAAACACCTCCGCTATTGTGCCGCAATACATGAAGGAAATACATGGTTGGCGGCATCCGGTTTCGGATTTGCCTGTCACTGTGGCAAGCCACAGGACGCCTGCGCCTACAGAGGGACCATGGATGGCTTGCGCTGCACCACCCACAGCTCCAACCACATACCCCATATCCAGTGTAAACCCGAAGGAATAAGACCGGGAGGCATGCGGATGGGAACCACGTTTCATCAACGGAGCCGGCCCACACTCCTTCACAGGCAAACACAAGCACGCTGTATTTGGGGAATCAACCGCACACAAGGCGGTGGCTGGACCGTAGTCCGCTCCACACTGAGTGCATGGAACCGCTCTTTGAGCCTAGCACGGCCACAAGAACCGTGCACCCCGTCCCCTCCAGCAACGACCAACTGTCTCCTGGAGCCAGTATGAACGATGTAGTGGGTAATAGACAGGTAGGCACCTTGTCAACATGCACATCAAGCGCAACCATACCAGGGATATCAAACAACAGCCATTCAATTTAAACGACAAGCTGAAATAAAATAAATCCAATAATGCATACAGATACGGTGGCATAACCCTTCGCTAAATTACCATATGAAGTAAGTTGGTTAGCAACAAATCCGTGATAAGTAAGAAATGTCCACAAGTTACTTAAAATGCTACAAACGCAACAAAATTACCGAAGATAAGCGCAATTAATGTAAGCAACGTGGCCAGCTAATAGAAGACTATCCACATAGGCAAAACAAACCAAATGAACTGGAATGAAATTTATGCAGCTTAAAGAGAACTAGTTTAAGTGTAAGTTGGTTTAGCCCAACTGCGGTGAAGAAGCATCAAGAATGCAACATCAGCCTCAGCATACATACAATACAATACACAACGGAGAAGTAGATACAACAGTTGCATGCCAGCTGAGCTACCAGCAACGGATAGGCATCGTTCCGGTAAGCTTCCAGCTAGCTACTAGGCAAAAAGAAAAAAAATATTATGTTTTACCCTAGGAAATGAGATGGTAGATGGATGGGGAGGCTAAAAGGGATGGGGAGGGACAAATAAACTCAGGGCAGGAACGCTACTGAGGTCGGCTCCTTGCCATGTCAGCAAGTGTATCCAGCCAAACGTGTTCACCGTCTTTTGGACCCCAACCAGGGAGCCTTGAAGCTCCAACCGAGGCTAGCTCCGAGGTAAGGGACTTCATTCCCCTGGACCAAGTCATCGCTTGGCCACCTCTCCTCTTCTTCCACCCACATCCCCGGTGAGCAAACAACGCACGTCGAGGGAGTCGGTGGGCTGGCATGCGTAACACGTGCCCGAGCCATCGGAGCCTGGTGAGGGAAATAACGGTGCTGAGCGGTTCAGATCCTTTTCCTGAGCCGTAAACAATGCGTCGAACACGCTCGTTACTGACGCGATGTTCCCACCATATGTGAGCCAAACTGCGAAGGCACCGATGGTCGAACGTAACTAGCCTCTTCATGTCCGCCGATCTTATGGGCCAGGTTTCGCAACCGTACAGTAAGGTCGAACGTACCGCTGCATTGTACACTCTACCCTTCAGGGCGAGAGTGATGTCGCGCCGCCGCCAAAGGTGGCGAAGGTTAGCAAAAGCACTTCGAGCTTTCGCTATACGGTTCGTGATCTCGTCTTCGATCCCAAGGGCGCTGATACAACTTCCCAGGTAATTGAATTTCTGAACGACTTCTAGCTGATCCCTACCAAGGGTCAGCGCAGGAGGCGATCCCTGCCAATCTTGGAGGAGCGCTTTGCACTTCGATGGTGCAAAGCAAAGCCCGAAGCGGCTGACAGCCAGTGCTAATCTGTCTAGCGCGGCTTGGAACGTCTGGGAGCTGTCACAGATGAGGGCAATGTCGTCAGCATACTCCAAGTCAAGAAGTCGTTCTCCTGGGAGTAGCTCCACACCTTCCAAGTCATGTCCTGTAAGTGCAAACTCCATGACTTCGTCAATAGCGAAGTTGAAGAGGAAAGGTGACAGCGGACATCCTTGTCTCACACCGCTGGAGATATTAAAGGGTGGCGACAGCTTGCCGTAAGCCCTCACTCTGCCCGTGCTACGCGCATATAATGCTTGGATAATATTTACATATTTCTCGGGCACACCTTTCCTGAGTAGACAATTCCAAAGGGCACATCGATCAACCGAATCGAAGGCACCTTTGATGTCGAGGAACACGACTACGGTGGGCCGGCAATATGTGTGGCGGTGCTCCAACAACTGACGCAAAGTGAAGATGTGGTCAATGCAGCCACGACCACGACGAAACCCGGCTTGCTCTTCACGAATCTGGCTTTCACGAGCGCCAGTCAGTCTGTGAAGAATTATGGAGGCGATGGAGATCAGACTGATTCCTCTATGGTTGCCGCATTCCGAGCGCGAGCCGCCTTTGAAGATGGGAACAATAACGGAGCGGCTCCAGTCGGTTGGGACAGTCTCCTGCTCCCACAGTTTCACTAGTAATTCATGCAAAGCATCCACAAGAGCAGGGCCTCCGAATTTGAAGAGGGCTGGAGGAAGATCATCTGGTCCCGCGGCTTTGTTCAACTTCAACAGCCCGATCTCACGTTCGACTTCTGAGCGAGAGGGTGGATCCAAAGGGACAGCCCACGGAGCAGGGCGATCAGTGACCGGCGAACCGGACAATTCTAGCCGATTAAATTGCTTTTCAAAATGATCAGCCCAACGCTCCAAACGTTTTGACAAATTGGGGATAGGCTGTCCACTCTCATCACAAATTGTTTCATAACACCAGGTCTCCTGCTGCCCGTTTCCCGTATCAGACGGAATAACTTACGATGGTTGCCAAGGCCAGCGGCCACTTCCATCTCTGATGCACGATGAGACCACCAAGATTCGCGGTCTCTCTTCAGGCTAGCACGGAGTTTTGCCCGGAGCTCGTTGCGAGTTTCATTGTGTTCGCTTCCAGCCGGGATATGCCGGCGAGCGTCGATAAGTTCCAGAGACCGAGAAGAGACCCAATGTCCATGTGGGCTTTTAGACATACTACATGAGGATTTGCCCGCTGCTAGTAAGGTCTGGCGAACATGTGACCAGTGACCATCAATTGTCTCCAGTGAGCGAGTACTCAACTCGCATGTCCGCGTACTTTGATAGGCATTCAGAACAGCTGGCTTTGTCAGTTGGCTGGTGTCAATGCGCTCACAGCGTCGTCGTGGGCGTCCTCCAAAGCGCATCCGCATGTCAGCACATACAAGTGCATGATCAGTGTCCACACATGTGCTCCAAATCGAGCGACAATTCTGGATGCAGCCTCTCCAGCGGTAACTAATAGCAATGTGGTCGATCTGCGTCCAAGGCTGGTGGGCGCCAAGTCATGTGTCGGAAATTAGTGCTCGCAAGAAATAAACGAGCATCTTCACACAAATGAAGTAACCGCTCACCGTTATCATTACGGGAGCCTACACCGTGCTGACCGCCCAGATGCATTTCATCAATGGACAACTTTCCAACTTGTGCGTTCATATCCCCCGCCAGAACAACAGTGTCCGTGCTCAATATATTGGAACATATTTGGAACCGATCGGGAAGTCATCATTTCAGAAAACTTGGTAAACGACCGGTTAATGTATTTATGGTGATACACAACGTTTCGCATTTGACACAAATGCTTCATCAGGCGAAGTGAATTATCTAAACATGTTTAGATAATTCACTTCGCCTGATGAAGCATTTGTGTCAAATGCGAAACGTTGTGTATCACCATAAATACATTAACCGGTCGTTTACCAAGTTTTCTGAAACAGTGTCCGTGCTTCTTCTGTGGCGAAGGAGCTGAGTCAGTTGGCGGTAGAAGTCGTTCTTTACCGAATCATCGCTACAGTTTGTGGGTGCGTAGGCAGCGATGATGAATAGACATCTATTAGTCCCGCGCGACTTTGAAGCTTTAAACGAGCCAGCCAATCGGACCGCACACATCCGGCTACTGATTGGAATCCAATCAACCAGAGCAGCTTCAGCCCGGGGACTCAGAGCAATGCCAACACCAGCTTGGCCGGTGCTCGAAGCTGCATCGTCACCGGATAGGCGCAATGACAAAATACTGTTTGCGTCACCTGAAGGGGATCGCAGAGTGAGCACAGAGCTCGAGTCTTGCAGGCTGGTCTCTGATAAGCAGCAGATATCGATCGAGAGGGTCTCCAATGTTCGGACAAGTGCTGCCTGTTGACCGATCTGTAGTAGTGTGCGTACATTAAGGCATGCCAATCTGAAGGAAAATCGAGGGCTCCAAATGGAAGCCGATGAACTGGAATGGACCGCTTGGTTGGACATGGGCTTGTCGACAGGAGAGGAGTGACGCTTCGCGTTCACATGTGAGTTGAAACTAGAAGATGAATGCCTAGCAAAGCATGTTGGGGGAGGGCCAAGAATCGGGGGGTTGAAAACTGGGGGGATATAAGTGAAGTTGGAAGGGGTCGGTAAGAGTGAAAAAGCGAAAGATGGGGAATAAGAAGACGGGAAGGCTTGAGCAGTAGCATCCAAACCCCTATCCACCCTGCTCGATGCAGTAGATAGGGCACCGTTTATTATCCTCTGCGGTGGCCAGAGCATCAGCAATTTGTTTGAAGTGTGATTCATTGTATTGCGTGGGCAGGATACTGTCAGGTTGCCCAGGCCTAGACAGGAGAACGATTAGGGTTCTCAACCAAAGCCTTTGGTTCGAAAACCTGACCGCAAGGCAGCGGGTTTGGCGTTGGACTATAAGGAGTCCGTTTTAAGGAATAAGGTGCCACCCTCATTCCAACCCCCAACCTGGAGGACCAGGAGGCTGAGTTTGTCTGACCTCTAACCATTGACCAATCTGGTGTGAGTGACTCTGAAGGTGCAAAAGCACCACCCAGCATAGCTCAATGGATCGCTGAGGCACACAAACCCTCGCACCACGGTAAGGTCCAGCCTCATTGCGATGGGCAGACTAGCCCCGGACAAGCTCAAAGCTGCTAAGGCGGAATTCGAGCAAATGCTCGAACTGGGAATAATCCGCCCGTCCAAAAGTCCATGGGCATCACCATTGCACATGGTACCGAAGAAATCCGGCGACTGGCGCCCCTGTGGTGACTACAGGGCACTTCATAAAGTTACCGTCCAGGATAAATACCCCATTCCGCACATGCACGACTTGACCTCAGCTCTAGCTGGTAAGCCTATCGTTAGCAAAGTTGACCTAGGTCGCGCTTACCATCAGATACCTGTCGCGCCAGAGGACATTGCTAAAACAGCAGTCTTCACGCCATTCGGCCTATTCGAGTACCTCAGAATGTCTTACGGCCTCAGCAACGCTGCCCAAACTTTCCAGCGTTTCATTCATGAGGTAACGCGAGGACTCGAAGGCGTTTACCCTTATTTGGATGACATTCTCATCGCCAGCTCTTCTGACAAGGAACATCTTCATCACCTCGACGCTCTCTTTAAACGCTTAACACAGCATGAGGTTACCGTCAACCCCCATAAATGCGAGCTTGGCCACAGCTCTATCGACTTTCTTGGCCACAGCATATCCGCCTCTGGTATCGAAGCTCTGCCAGACAAAATCCAGGCACTGAAGGACTATCCTGCTCCCAGTTCCTTCAAACAGTAACGCCGATTCCTTGGCCTGGCCAACTACTATAAACGATTTATTCCTAACTGCGCGAGCATGGTTCAACCAATGACTGACTTGCTCCGCGGTAAACAATGGTCTTTTCATTTTGCAGACGACGCTAGACTGTCTTTTGAGAAGCTCAAAGACGCTATCTTCAACATAGTGCTTCTCGCCCACCCAGACACATCTGCACCACTCTCCCTGACAACTAAAGCATCCGACACTGCCGTCGGTGCAGTTCTTCAACAACTCATCGACCATTGATGGATACCTCTAGGTTTATTCTCGAAACGTTTACAACCTGCCGAATCGCGTTACAGCACCTTCGGTAGGGGACTGTTAGCTATTTACCTAGGTATCAGACATTTCCGTCACTATCTCGAAGGTCGACATTTTACAGTCTTCACTGACCACAAGCCATTGATCTGCGCAATCAATGGCGCAACGGACAAGTATTCTCCACGGGAAACTAGACACTTAGACTACGTTTCTCAGTTTAGAACAGACGTACGACATGTCTCAGGTGCTCTCAATCTCGTCGCGGATGCACTTTCACGCATTCAGCAGACCAGCTTATCGCCTGGCACCAACATTGATCTAGCCGCTATGGCTGCTGCCCAACAAGCTGATCCCGACATAAGCAAGCTACGACGCAACACCACTGAGACGATCAACATCGATCGACTCAAGCCAGCCTTCCTCGACAAGTCTGACTCTTCGGTGCAGCAAGCACATTCACAGCCTGTGCCATCACAGCTCGCACCGCAACCTCAGACGAGTCAGTGCGCTCCAGCAGAACCGACAACCTCAACCGACAGCAGTCCTACTCGCCCTACTATCAATCGACGCGGTAGGAAGTTCAAACCCCCAGTTCATTTTTCGGACTTCATTAGCACTCACTATTTTACATAGAACGTGCCTTTGAAATTTCCTACTCTTGCCAAACGTTGTTGAAAATCCACAAAAAAGATCAAAACGTTTTGAAACTACCAAAAAAGAGCAAAACCTTTTGAAAACCCAAAACCAGCTTTGCACCTTTTTCGCTTTGCACTCTTTTGTGTATGGCTATGCATTTATGCTGCTTTTTCATTTTGCTTTCCATATACACCGCCGGTTGGTTGCACTTCGGTTTCACATTTCGCTGGATTTCCGCACGTCAACTGGAAGTGGAACAAACTTCCTGCTCAACTGCATACATGAACTGTCCCCCCCACAAACAGTTTTTTTTACCGTTTCGACACCGTAGGGAGGACACGGGTGGGAGCCCGCTAGGGTCCGATTGCATGGTTCTCCCCCAGCAGCTGCATCAGGTTTCACAACCTGGTCTCGCAGAAGGCTGGCCGGCGACGGACAGTCCTGACGTAGATCGAAGGATTGCTTACACAGTCCCTTCTGGGAGAGGGTTATGTAGCAGTCTGGAGATTCCCCGGTTTGCCTGTGTAAAATTCTTACTAAAATTATTTCATTGTACACTTACGCAACCGGTGTGGTTTGTTGAACTGATTGCTGAGTTCGAATGCTTGACTTGCTCACCGCCATTTTTGCTTGGCACTCATTTCGGTTGCAACTCGCAAATGCCCTGTGTGCTGTGCTTGCTCCGTTCCCCTAGCTAAGGCGTCCGCGGTGTCGTTCTTTTATAGCTAGATAACGGGGAATCTTTTACTGTACCAATAAAAGTTTCCCTGCAACTCGATCTGTCTTCTCGAATCGCTCTCTGGGCTCCCGGTACAGGCGACCCTCTAAATCTGCGCTTATTCATCACTTTCACGTCCTCTTGAAGTACTGCTCGATGGTGTACAGTAGCGCAAACAAACGATATCGCATTATATTAGAAAATGTACAACGAACATTCACAAAACAAGGAACATCATCGAAATTAGAATATTCCGAGATGTGAGAAACTCAAGCTTGATCAAGCTTGAGGCGAATGAAACACAACCTAATGATTAATTGGAGGGTCATTTTTGGATTACATGTGTGATTGGATTGCGACGCGCAATCTCATTGTGGACCGCGATTCACATTGAAGTGCACCTAGGTCACTGCGATCAGTAGGACCGTAGCCGAAGCAGATGGAAATTGGGTGTTGCCCGCCCAGTGCAGTGTTTTCGGGCGGGCAACACCCGGTTCAACCTATTGATATTCTATAACATCGCACAAGAAAATGCATGTTTCCAACCTTAACATGGCAATAATACGATCACCATCATACAACACACGAAATAAGGAACATTCGGTAGTGGAATGCAGGTCGAAGACCGCCAGCATTGGAACAAACTGCCAACCGATATCCGTGTTAGCAATTCAGAGCAGGAATTTCAAAAAAGGACCAGCAAATACTTGAATGTGCAAAATGTGATCCATCTATTGGGATGTCACATAACGAACAGCCAAGCATACGAA